AGGAGGCGGGTTCTGCCATGAGTGCCCAGAGGCCCTGATTGCCACTGCTGTAGCCGGTGAGTGCGTAGCTTTTTAAAATAATTTTTTTTTTTTTAAGTGCCGGGAGGCTGGGGCCATGCAGGGCAGCCATGGGGGTTCCCCACCCGGGAAGAGGCAGGCACAGCAGGAGGAGCCATGAGAGAACCTGCAGCTGCCTGGTTGTGCCTGCCTCTCCCCAGCTGATCCGAATCACCGAATCTCTCCGAATCAGTGCTGAGTCTTTCAAAGCCGATTTGGCTGAATTGAATGGGGACAGTGATTCAAATCACCAAAACAAATCACTATCCTCTGAAGTGGCTGAATCCGAAATGTATACTTCCCTATTCACACAGGCCTAATCTGTAGGTTGGTATATATTTCTCACCTACATGTCTAATCATAACTTTAAAAATGCTATTAGCTGCAGTGATACCGTATTCTAAGTATATATATTTGTTTTTTCCCCCAAACATTTAAAAACATTCTTAGTGAGGAGGAGAAAGAATATAATTTTAGAGATTGGATTCCTGACAACCATGGACATGTAATTTTAGTTGTCTCAAAGTGAGAAACATTTCACAAAGTGTCACAATTCCATGTTGAACAGTTCTATTACCCTGCCTCTCATTTCTCCATTTCCCCTCCCCAAGAATTACTTACCTTCCCACTGGTTTGGATCAACAGCTATTTTTAATATTAAATCATGCAGAAGTTTAAATCTACCTTGGCACAAAAAATGTGCCTGGAGCAATAGCAAACTTGATTTTACAAAAGGAAAATGGTCTAAATGTAAAAATAGCAATTACAGATGGTCAAAAATATTGAAGCTCTTGGTGAAAGACTGAAAATTGAAATCCTTGGACTCTTATGTGCTACTGAAGTGGTTTATGGGAGTTATATTTTAGACGCCTATTGCACCCACTTAACTGTATACATCCTCTGTTCTGGCCACACCACCCCTGATGCATGAGCAAATGGAGGTAGTATATGATGGGAGATGAGATGAAGTCTAATTGGGTGAAGGAAAGAGAATAGGAATGTGAGACCATGAGCCCTGCCACCCATTCAAATAAAAGCTAGATGGAAACCAGCTATGAAATTGTTACACATTTTCAGCACTAACTGGTTTCCAGCTGCTTGGTTCTTTTTATAGCTCAATGGTCATTTTTATCTCATGATAATTACTTTGCACATGTGATTGGTCTAAATTTACTGCACGATTAGCCAGTTAATTGTGTAATATATTGAATGTGTAGCAGGGGCCATTGTGACAGCATTTCAGATTTTGAGTATTTTCATTTTCAACCCAAAGCTGAGAACCTGTTATAGTTTTCAACAAAAATCAATTTTCTGTTAGAATCAAACTTTTTTTTGTAAAATATTGTTCAGTCAGAACTTTAGTTTTCCATTAAAAATGTCAGAAAAAAAATTCTATATACACTTGAGCAGAGGAGGATTGCAAACAAAAGAATGAGAAAATTTTGGATACAGCTAATGGTGAGTGGCTGTGCACCCAAGGTCTGAGGACAAATGTGGCTTGCTGTAATAAATTACATGCACTTAACATAAGGAGGCTTGACTTGGTTTTAACTAGATAGGAAGAGCTTGAATACCTCTAAGGTTTAAAGTTAAATCTAGATTTTGTAGCCCTGGTCCTTCTCTAACCTAGATCTAGTTTTAAAGAATTTTTACATAAGGCTCTACCATCCTCCTCTGGCTCATAAATCCTGTTTCTTACTCAAACAAGCCCCACAATGTCTCTTTCCCAGACTGATGTTTTGATGGAAAGAGAGCACCAGTGACCAGGTCCTTACCCAATGCCATTTAGAGGTATAATGCCTCCTCTTCTCCTGAGCACATGCTGTTGCCTCTTCAGAGCAGGACAGCCATTCAAAGAAATCCTATTTAGCCCTGATTGTGTCAAAACCTAATAATCCAACTCAAAAGTCTAAGCAGTCATCGCATGATAGTGCATTGACATCATAAGAAGTGTGCCCTGTCTCAGCTGCAAACAGGGTAGGAATACTGAATTTTTATAGTAGCTCTACAGAGTGTGTGTATAGAGTTCAGAGTATGTTGAATCTAGTGATGACTATTTCACATAGCTCTAGGGTTAACCTACTTCAGATTCCAGCATCTTCTCAGAGGATTTCTCTCTAAGCATCGTTTGCTGCTAATAAATTTTCCACCTTTTCCTTAGGAATTAGAGCAGCTCCTTTAGCTTTCTGCCAGGGAGTCCCAGTCCTCCTCATTAAGCAATGCAGCTGTTGGTCTTCCTAATCCCACTAACTCAGTATTATTTCTTATCCTGTAGACCTTAAAATTTGTAATCTTGAATCTGGAGCTGTGTCAATGGGGACTTGCTTTGGAAACCAAGTAGAGGAACAATGGTACCCTTACACAGCAGCCAAAATCAGTCTGAAGCTAAACTATGGGGAACCTAATACCAATGAATTAATGAAAGTTACCTCTGTGCTTTGCCCAGTCATTTAGATGGGATTTGAAAACTGAAGTTCAGGTTAGGTTCTGACCCTGGCTTCACCATATGATCTGTTTGCTCATCGGTGAATTGAAGATAAGGTAATGACCGTTTTGACATGCTTTGAGATCTCAGGAAATGCTCTACATAGAAGCTTATTACTTTTGGTGAGCAGACAAATCAATCTCTCAATGCATTTTGTCCTTGGTGCTTGTTTGCTTAACTCCTGCCGCTTGCCTGCCAAGCAACCCTTTACCGCAATCCTCATTGCTCTGGCTAAGCTAATCAAAGGTCATAAAAATGCCCTCCTGATGAACTGAGATTAAGAGCAGCCACTCACAGCATAGTCCCCATAGTTTAACCCCAGAGCTTGTCTCGAGTCATTTCTTGACTCAAAGCTGGACGTGAAAAGGGCATTTTTGTCTCAGGAGGCTGATTTGCCTTGGCTCTGCACTTTGTGTAGTTTATTTAGACTAGGGCAAAGTGGGTGCACTAATTTGATTGTACCAGTGTCTTACAGACCCATTGACATGGTCTGAAGGGCCACAAGATGCAGGGAATGCACACTTAGGTCCACCATGAACATACCAGCTTGAATGACATGACTTTTCAACCAGCAGGAGATGGCAACATGACAGTGGTTACTGAGATGTCAAACTTTATTACCAGCCCTTTTTTAGCACTGTGTCCATGTGCTTTGCAAGCAGCAGTGAATCAAGCCTGAGGACACTAAAAGGAATGGGATTACCCCCACTTTACAGGTAGGAAAATTGAGGCACATGGGCATTGCAAACTTTATTACCAGCCCCTTTTTAACATTGTGTCCATTGCTTTGCAAGCAGCAGTGAATCAAGCCTGAGGACACTAAAAGGAATGGGATTACCCCCACTTTACAGGTAGGAAAATTGAGGCACATGGGCATTGCAAACTTTATTACCAGCCCCTTTTTAACATTGTGTCCATTGCTTTGCAAGCAGCAGTGAATCAAGCCTGAGGACACTAAAAGGAATGGGATTACCCCCACTTTACAGGTAGGAAAATTGAGGCACAGAGAGGGGGAAGTGGTTTGCTGAAGGTCACTTCGGCTGTCACTTCCCAGCCCTGCCCTTGAGCTTCCCTAGTGATAAGGAGGAGGAGACAGCTGGAGGATGGGCATTTACCTTTACCCATACCTAGAAAAACAGCAGCATCTCACTCTGGTAATTGCTACTATGCTGCTGACAAATCCCCTGTCTAGCTGGAGTTGCAGCTCTCCAAGCCCCTCGTCCCTGCCCTTCCCCACCCTACCTGCCCCTCCTGGAGAGGGAGAGCTCATCTGGGTGTCTGGGACTCACTCCTCCCAGCTCTGCTCCGAGCCGCACAGGTGTCAGCTATTGGGTAGAATATGCAAATGATCCGGTGACGTCAGGCAGCCCTGGTCCAGACAGCAGAAATAGGGCAGGATTCAGCAAGCCGCGTTTACACCCCATAGCTCCTGGATTGCGACTGAAACCTCCCCCACGACTGTGTTGTTGTGCTCTTGGGTTGTTTTTTTTTTTTAATTTCCCATGATTTTTTTTTTTTCTTTCTCCCCTCCTTCAGTGTCCAGCCTTTCATGATCGCCTCCCCTCTTCCCCCGGCGCTCCTGCAGACTTCTCTCTCCTCCTTTCCCCATAAAGAGCTTTTGTGCTTTTTGTTTTTAAACCCCCAAAGCCAAAAAACAACCCCAAACCCCCACCAAAAAGTCTGACATCTTTTTTTCTTCTTCTTCTTCTTCCAGTTGCTACATGCTTTAAACTGTGCTCACTTTGTGCCCCTGGGATACTACAGGTAAGTAACAGGAGACAAGCCAGGGGTGGGGGGTGGGAGGTGGAAGGGGGGGGGTAGATGGATAGTCTTTTTTTATCCCCCCTCCCCAGAGCAAGGTTAATGTATGAATGCTGTGATTTTTTATTTTTTATTTTTGCAATGCTCTTCATTTCCTTCTAGTTTCAAGCCACATGCAGGCTCGCAGGGTGCTTGCTGATCACGGTGGCATTAAATCAGACTCACTTAATGATGAGTGACAAGAGTTTGCAACATTCACTGAACAGATGGGAGCCGCGGATGCACCGGGCGATTTGTGCTCCTGGATGCAGGGGAAGGGCTGCGGCGGGAGCGGGGGGAAGCAGCAGCAGCTCCGGAGACGCCAGACTTTAGTCCTGACCCAGCGTCCTAGACCCGGGATTGCTGAGCCCGGGGCTGTCTCCGGAGACCTGGCGGGGGCTGCAGTGCCCCCGGCTCCCCGGAGAAGTGGCGAGCTCTCCCCGCGGTCCTCAGGCGGGTCTTGATCGTGGGCTTGGGGGAAGCAACACCGGAGGCTGTGCGGGGAGAAAGATGAGCAGCCGCTATAGCTTCTGACACTTCATTTATGTGTGTGTGTGTGTGTGTGTGTGTGTGTGTGTGCAAAAGCTGCTTATCCAGACGTTTCTCCCCCTGGTTGTGCCCTTGCTCCTGATCAGGTTTACAAGTTTGAACGTGTTACAGTAACTGCAGAGGCAGCAGAGCTGCGATGAGCAGGGAGAGCTGGCTTCTCCACCGGCCAAACCAGCAAAGCCCGAAGCGCTGCTTATAAAAATACCCTGCGGTGCAATGGCTCTCTCTCCCCTGCCCCTTCTTCAGGAGCTCCCTGGCCCCTTTGGGGAGCTCAGGGCATGGGGATCGCTCTCTCCCTCTTCTCAGATGACCCTCAGTTTAGCAGCCAGACTTTTTTTTTTTTTTTAATTTGCCAGGCAGCAGGGGCTGGAGCAGGCGGCAGCCCGGCTGTTTGCAGCGGTGGCGGCGTGGGGGGAGCGCTGCCGGGTGTCTGCGTGTGTGCGGGAGAGAGGGAGGGAGAGATGCAAAATTAATTTTGCAGCCGCCTCGGCACAAAGCAGCGGGGCTCGGGGAAACCTGCCAGGTCCGCTCCCCCACCCTGGACGCATCCCTATGCAGCCAGCCGGAGGGATTTAGGAGCCAGGAGCCTGTGCACTGAGAGAAGGCTCGGGCTTTGCGTATCAGCTCCAAGATCTGCCGCCTTCAGCCTCGGGTTCCCCCCCCACGCCCCATTTTGGGAGCCCATTTGGCTGGGAAACCTGGCTCAACACTCCCTTGCGCCCCTCCCCCCACGTCCACACTGGAGACCCCCCCCAATCCGATTTATTAGCAGCAGACTCGTGATGCTAGCACTTGTCCCCACTCCCCCCCAAGGGCAGGCGTGTCTAACAGGTGTCTGCTTCCCTGCTGGGATAACCAGGGCCACTTTGGAGGCCGGGAGTTTGTTTGAACTCCGGGCAGAGCCTGGGTCGTGCAGCCCCGGCCTGCGGCGGGCAGCTGGGGACCTCCCTCCGTTCCCCCCCAAACGGCCGAAGCGGAGCTCATTTATCACCTGCTTCTGTTTGCAAAGGGCCGGGGCTGGGGCAACTGGTCGCTGATTTCCACTCCCTCCCTACCCCCACCCCCGACTGATGCCACAGGCGCAGGCTGGTGCGTCCCAGGGGAAGTTGCAGGGCTGATGGAGCGGGGCAGCCTCTGCCTCGCTCCCCTTCCGACGGGGAGAAGCCCCCGGGGAGATGCGTGGGTCGTGTTTTCCTCCTCCATGTGATGCACAGAGTTTGGAAAGAGAGAGGAAGGGGCGTTTGCTTCAGACCCTGAGCACTGGCTCTGCGCCCCCGCGGGGGCAGCTCGGGGAGGAGCGCGGGGGACGCGGAGGGGATGCGCTGTCCACAGCTCCGGTCCTGAAATGCCTCCCCTGCGCTCCTTGCTTTCCCCTCCTTGCCCCCTAGGTGTCGCTTCTGCTGCTCTCCTGGCTCTAGGCTCAACCTTGTTCCAGGCCAAGTCCTTTTCAGACAGCACCCAAAAAGTTCCCCCTGGGGTAGCTGAAGAGCCCGGCTCCTTGAGGGGAGCCGGGTCCTTGTAGGGTTCCATTTGCTGCGCGGCAATGCCGATGTATGTGCCAGCAAATCAGGTGTACCATAATTATCTTTCGGGAACCTGAGCAGACAAACGCACAGACACAAGTATGAATCGGGTTGTGTCTAACATTTCACAGTAGTTAGTTATCTAGTCATCCGCGCCCAGAGTGGCTGGTTGAACGGGTGCAATTATTTTTGCATATATCTGGTATAGGCCAGAGTACCTCTGTTTTGAATTAATTTCAGCTGCGGGAGCACCAGTAACAGTTTCCACTAAACAGCAAGGAGGATACCAGTTTTTGCCTACTCTAAAAACAGAGTCAAAAGTTGATGGCAGGGAAAAGTGTACAACCATCAAAACAGTACTAAAAAGCCAAAGTTTTTTTTTTTTGTTTTTTTTTTTTAAATCTCTCTGCTTGTTTGCTGGTCTTCTAAATGTGTGCAGATGCTCCCTCTGCCAGAAGAAGGGTGTTTGTACCCAAAAGCTTGCAAAAAAGATTTTTTCCAACTATTTGAGTTGGTCTAATAAAAGAGACCAGATTTATCCAAAGACTCTTGTCTGCTTACATCCTTAGACCACCACAGCTACAATCAACACCCCTGAAATGTGTGTAAAATGCATTTAATTTCACCCCCTCACCCCCAGCCACTGCTATGATCCATTAAGCTATCTGCAAAAGGTGATCTGATGATAATATGTCATTGCCCTGAACTACAGGCAATATCTGTGTGATGTACCAGGCAGAGGGACTCTACTTACAATATTATGGACTTCAGTTACCTTGGGAGGGAAAGTAATAATCTGGAGCTGCCCATCAGTCTTTCACTTGAGGATGGCCTTCAGCCTGTGATCTTTGCATTCATCACTTGCTACTCTTACCTTGCAACCGGCATTGGATAATGCTGACTTAATAAAATACCTGGCTCCTCTCCTACTTTGCCCTTTCTGAAATATTTAGGATGGTGCAACAGTTTTTTCCTTTATGACTTTCTAACTAGCCAGTTTTGTGGCATAATGAGGGGCAGGGGGAGGATGTTGTGGGGAAAACACTTATCTGAGCATAACAAAAAACCCCCGTGAAAATAACCTTGTGGAAAGGTCAATTTGCAAAGGGTGCAATAATTAAAGAAACAACAAGGTTATGAGGGCTTCACTCTCATTCAAACAGATGAATATAAGATTTCTAGGATCTCTCTAGGAGCACTTAATACCTGGCAAAACTGAGCAAGGCAGGATAGGTCAAAACAAATAGTTCTAAAAGTATTAAGCTATTATTGACAACCTGTACAAAATGCTCTCTGCCTGAAGTAGAGTATATTACACATATTTACATATTACACTTGATACTAATTAGGCACCTCATTCATCAAAATATAAAGTATTAATCAGCAATAGTGTAGATAAATAATTTGAAATATAATTTAACTTCATTATAGTTTGCTGAAAGATTAGCTTTAACTGATTTTCTTGATTCATTTTATAGGTTTACTAGTGATCTACAAAAAGTACAACCACCTAAATGATTTTGCAGATGATAGAATACTCATTACTTATGAAGCTAAAAGCAAATTGAACTCAGATCAGTTTATCATCTCAATGGAGCCAGTTTACACTACTTTATATTGTCCTAAAAATTTCCTCTTAGAAGAACTGTAATAGGAAAGATACAGAATTTCACGATATTTATTATGTTTGGTCTTTTTGGAGACACCAGTCTAGAAACTGAAACAAAAATAATAACTTCTATTGGAAAAAATGTTCTTAATTCTATTACAATAATGAAAAATAATTTTAAAAACAATTCCATGATTGGGCAGAAAGGTAGTTAGATTAATGTAGACATCTAATTGTTTTACTGTTTGGCATATATGTCAAAGTAGTAGTAGTCATCCTGTTTAAACAATTTGCCTTTCTCCTTGGTTAAATAGAAAATATGACTGGCAAGTATTTTTCAAGTTGACCCCTGTGTTTTTAATGGGGTGGGCAGAGGGAAGGCTTTAGACCATGGACCATATTATTAGCTTCTGTACACTTCAGGTTTTCTTTCTATTCAGTTTATACTACAATAACTAGGGTCCGATGCTCTATTAGCCTACGCATGAGCTAATATATTTGTTAAGAAGGGATATTCTTAAACTGTTTTTATTCTGGCAGCATTTATGGGACATATACTTTCATGTAAACTGCTAGGGCAAGCTTCCCCAATGTAATTCCTCTGAAGTCAATGCAGGTAGCCCAAGAATTAAGTTGGTGGTTAATTTTAAGCATACTAAAAATCAGATTTACTGAAAACTTAGACTTGGTTATCTAGTATTTTAGAATCAGTCCTTCTTTTTTTTTTTTCCTTTCGTTTTTGTTTCTTGCTCATGTGAAGTTTGCTAAGAAGAGGTGTTTGGCAGGTTTTTGTGATTCTTCAGAGTTTCCTAATGTTTGCCCAAGGACATTGTTCAATAGTTGCTCCTTTTGTGCAAAACAGTACACTTGTGCTGGGCTCAAGCCTTCAAACTCCTGCTCACCTGAGCAAAAACTTCTCATGTGAGCAGGTTCAAGCTTTCATCTCTCTTTAGTGAGGAGAGAACTATTAGCAAAACTTTGACAACGATGAGCCTGTGCCCATGTACAATAAAATAAAAAGGAGTCCTTCATAAGAACTTGGTGGATTTTGAATCATAATTACGTTAATTTTCATTGAGTGTGATTTAAGTTGCAGTCTATTATAATTAGAAGCCAGATTCTGCAAGGATCTGGCCAGATCCTATTAAACTAAATCAATCCTTACATGAACCAACTCAGTGGAAGACGATACCACTGAGAACATGGTAGGACCTGTAAACTTGAAATCAGAATTGTGCATTATTAAGGATCACAGAACTTATTTTATAGTTTATATTTCTAGTATGTGAGTAGTATCTGGCTTAGCCCATTCAGAGCTACACTGAGCATTAATATAAACTTCACTGTTTAAAAGTAAAGCTAATTAAAATATTGTCAGGCACTGTGCAATAAAAATAGAGCAATCTATAAATTGAATTAAGAAAGATATTAGCTGTACAAATTACACTAAAATATGTATTGGGATTATTAGCAGAATGGCAATTGCTGCACAGTTTCATTAATGTTATATGCAACTATGACATGCAACCTAATCCAAATATCATTGTGTTTCCTAGGAGTTATTTACTAATTATACTTTGGCTTGGCTAGTTCTCTGATGTTTGTGCTCTGGAGTCATAACTCCAAACAACAGATAAGTCAAAGCTCTCCAGAACTGCAAAATTAAATTGTTATCGTTTCTGTGATGGTATCAACAAATGATGCACAATACCTCTATAAAAATGTAGGGAATTGTATTGCTGTGCAAGACTGGTTTATAATGTAATGTTGTACTTGTAGCATATTGATATAGTGACTTTGGTTAAATCTCTCTCAATTCCCAGTGTTTAAAATAGTACTGAGAAACAGCAATGACTTAACTGTGCTGCTGAGTGTATAGAACCATAATCTGTGCATGTTTTATTAATAATACAAATTTGAGCACACAAAATATTTAGGACTAAATTCTACCCTGCTGTAAATTGGCATGCCCTGGGAAGCAAGAGAGTGACACTTTGCCTAACTATAAAGCAAGAAAAGTCAGTTAGTGATTGTAAAACATTATAGAATTAATTTTCTGACAAACCACATACCATATACATCCAGATGTAATTCTACCAAGTTCATTCCAGGTGTTTGCACCAACTTCTAGGTTGATTTGATTTTTAACAGAGATGTTGCATTGTTAATAAATGTTGTTGGGGTTTTTTTTCCCAATCCCAGCAGTAACTGGTCTGTCCACTCACTATGAAAACCAAATCATTTTGCTTTGCTTAGGCTTTTATAATATACCCAGTAGGAGGACCAAGTGCATCTCTTGTGGAAGCTAAGAGCAAAACTTGCATTGATTCAAATGGAAATATTTTTTGTCATTTCTATGGAAATCTGTGCAAAATATGTGCTACAGAACACCCAAGCCCAGAACTCTTATGGCTTTCACAAATACTGTTCAGTGCATCTTCATAGAAAGCTGCTGGTTCTTTTTGTGCTAAGGATGACTAATTTTTTTAATGAATCTGGTCCAACCTTACAGTGAAATTGCCAAATTTTTCATGGGTTTCATATTTTCCATTTCACCTGATTTTGCTTTGGGTTTATTCAAACTTCAAAATCAAATAAAAACCCCCCTCCTAAAGCAGGTGACATGTGCATTACTTTCAAGTATGCCTGCAAACAAGAATACCACTCTGTATTGATTACTTTGTGTCCTGGGACCCTTGTCTGTACCTGAGAATTCCCTTATTCATGGGTCTGGAACCAGCTTTTAAATCTGGCAGTGGCCTGTCAATAAAATAATGGTAGGAGGGAGTCTGGAGGTGACAGGGGCTCCCAAAAGCCAACTTAAAGGCACATGTCTGAAAAGATAATGAATTTTGAGAAGAGAACTGCTGCCCATTTCAGAAGGGGAGGGGAGCAGGGAAAAGAGAAAGGAAGCACCACCTGCCAGACACAATATTCTTTGGGGATATAATGGAAATGTTTACACTCCTCTCCAAGGGGTACTACAGATCCATGAGGGAAATTGGGCTATAGTTTGGGAACTAATCTTGAACTCTTTTCAAAATGTAAGTCTTTCTATTTACTCAACATTTAACTTGCTTAGTGCTTAAGCACTCACATTTACATTAAGACCCTGATTCTGTGGTGGCTGTGTTTTAAATAGACTTCCTGCCCCCATGCAGAGCCTGGGTGAAGCTAATGGAAGTAGTTAGTAGTGCAGGGATCTGCCATTGCAGACTAACTAGGTTGGTACTCATTCAAAAGAAAGAAGGGAGATTCGGTAAGTGACATTATTTTTTACCAATGGGTAGCAAACCATTACATCTGGAGGATGGCTGCACTTATGTGGACCACCACTGGCTTCACTAGGGTTTTGTCAGAATAGAGATGCTTGTTGTCACCCCACTGTAAGCACTGGCATTGTACTGAGCATAGGCACCTGGGGCTTTCAAAAGCACCAAAGATTTGAGTGCCACTCTCTTCTAGACTCTTGACACTTCACCATTTACTCTCCGTTTTTTATATATGGAAGTTTCCAAAGAAAATGCCCGCAACTTGATAGGATTATACATCGGAATTCAGTTTTCTAGCACTTAAGCCATGTGGACATGGGCAATTATTAAATATATATGCATCGTAAGTTAACTGAAATGTCTGCCTAGTTTCTATGGTGGGTTTTTTGTTGGTTTATTTCAAATGATCATGTTTGATTTGTTGTCATCTTGTTCTCAATAGGCTTGAAATAATGAAACCAAGAAGCTTTTCATTATTTCTCATGTTGCTTGGGGTTTTCCTGTCAGCCTCGTGGGGATGGATGGAATCAGACAGGAGCAGAAGACTTGATTTGGATGCCGGGAGGTTGCGCCAAGAGGTACTGTTTATCAGCTTCTGCTGTAGATGCCATTTCAGCTTTTGTATGTATTCTGCCTAATTCTGCTTTTAGCTTTTTCAGTGGGGTAAAGGAAAAATAAGGCCGTACATTAAAGAAATATATTTGCTGAGGCAGACGGTGGAGAAACTGTAGTCTGTGTTCTATAAAACAGAAGTGTTATTATCACCATATTACTGTAGGACTCAGTCCTCAGTTTGCTAGATGCTGCATGAACACCTCTGAAAATGCAATACTTGCCTCAAATAGTTCAGCATCTAACCCTTCAGTCATGGAGCAGGTACAGTGCTGGCAGAGCCCTGCACCCATTTCAACCTCACTGTAGGATTAGGGTTTACAGGCAGGTCTATGCTGCCGCCAACTGTGGCAGGGAGCACCATCCTCGAAACAGCCTTGACCCTACACACCAAGAATATATAACGGAGCTGCTGTTATTGGTGCCGGGCATACCTGATTATGTGACAACCTATAGCTATCTTTTTTTTTTTTTTGGTATTAAGTTCACTTAGAGTGTGAGTGAATAGGGTGTGGGGCTGCTCAAAAGCAGTGTAGACTTGCCTTAGGAATCTAATCTGTATATACAATATTAATCATAGGGACTGTTTTGTCATTATTTAAGGATTTCATCTGAGGATCTAAAAATCCTACTGTATGATAGTTTTTCCTTTTTGTAAAATGGGAATAAGCCACTAGTCATTTTAGTGGCCTGCTAAGGTTATTACTGGGAACTTTGTCCCTGCCTCCACAGGCTATGTTGTATTACAGTCCTCAGAACTGAGGCTTGTTATATATAAAATGGAAAAATGCAAAGGACTTCTAAAAGCAAGCAGTAAGAGTAATAGTGAGTAATGATCAGGGATCATGGTTTTCTCTAATTTAAAAAATTGCAAATTCTCTGATAACACTCCCCCCCAAATCCATTATTTAAATTTAAAGGCCCCCCACAGTGTCCCCCTGGCCCTGCTCGTGCCTCTCATTCCCACCCCACACCCTCCTTGCCCTGCTAGTTCCTACCACTGCCTCCCCACCCCTGCTGGTGCCCCTCAGCCCCCACCCACAGCCCCCTGCCCCCACAAGCCCTGCTGGAGGGGGGCCTCAGCTGCCAGGGCTATAAGGCCTGGGACCCAGTTCCACGGCCCCCTTCCCCTGGCAGGAGGCTGCAGCTGCTGCAGCAGACCAAAGCCCAGCTCCTCCCTGCTGCCTGCTGCAGGCTTGGGTGGGGGATGCTGGCTCCCTATGGGAGCATGCACCCCCCAGGCGGCAGGGGGATCCTGCGCCCCCAGATCTGTGTGGGCTTGGGCAGGGGGAATGGGGCTGGCTCCCCAGTGCTGTGTGCACTCTGGGGGGCAGGGAAACCCGCATCCCCCAGATCTGTGTTCGGGATGGGGGTAGAGGTGGGTGCAGGCTGTGGGCTCGGGCTCCCACCCTGCTGCCCTGCCCCAGTGGGCATGATCCGGTGCAGCACGGACAGAAGAGCTGCGTGGAGATGCTGCTTGTTGCTGTGAGCTCATGCAGTCCTGGCAATTTGCCACTGCACACGTGGCAGCTTTAAGGGGTGTGACTCCATGCCACTGCCCCTGCTGCAGCCATGTGCACAGGGAGTGCATCACCAGGGCAGCTCAGAGCTCACAGCATCAAGCAGGTTCTTCATGCAGCTAATACTGTTCCCTGCCATGCTGGGTTACACCCACCTGGCTGTGGAGGCCTTGTGGGTAGGGCAGCAGGGTGGGAGCCTGAGCCCACAGTCTGTTCCTGCCCCCACCCCTGCCCCATGCACAGATCTGTGGGGTGTGGGTCCCTCCTGCTCCCCTCCCTCTCCTGGGAAGTGTGTGCAGTGGTGGGGAGTGACTCTTTTCCCTGGCTGAGTCACTCACAGCCCCATCCCACTCCCCTCTGTGGCCCTGCAGCTGCACATTGTAGCCCTGGGCCCTGAGCCCCATGCACTGCCTGGCTGGTCAGCAGCCCCAGTCCCAGCCCTACCTAATTCCCTCCCTCCCTATGGGGGCTCAATTTCCACCCCCCACCTCCCACCCCCCACACTTACTTGTGGGAACTGCTCTCCAGGCTGCCTGGGGCCATGTGCATGTACATGCACAGGGTTCCCCCTGCCTGACTGCCCTCCTCCCTCTCCCACCCAGGCCCCTGCAGGCTGGAACTCTGCCAGCCTGCAGAGGGCTCATCACAAACTGCAAAATCCACTGGCTTCTCTGGTAAAATGGGAAATTTGCGTTTGCTGCTGGTAAAAGGTAAAATCTGCGGTTTACTCCGTTTTTCCATGGGAAACAGAAAACCCAAATCCCTGGTAATGATGAACTTGATACAAAGAAATAACCTTATAATCTGATCACAAGGCATAACTCCTTAGTGCATTACAGGTGCATCTTAATGAATATTAGGGCCCTGCTACATGTTCAAATTAAAGCTGGGTAGAAACCAGTTATAGAGTTGTTACACATTTTCAAGTACTACCTTTGTGGTTGGTTGACTCCTTATAGCTGTCATTTTTATCAAGTGATGATTACTTTGCATGTGTGGCTGGTCTATATTTAACGTGCGATTAACCAGTTATTGTATGATAATTATTTTGCACATGTGGCCAGTCTAAATTGATGTGAGATTTACTAGTTATTTGTGTAACTAGTTAGTTGTGTAATATATGTAATGTGTAGCTGGGACCTACTGTGCCGACTGTAGGTATTATATGGTTTGAGACCCCTTCCCAGGGATCTCCGCCCTACTGGTGGTGATGTGGTAGCGCGTGGACTAGTCACTCGGTCTGCCTATCTGATGTTATATTCCTTGTCTGCCACGACTTTGATGTAATTTACGGGAGGCAGTTCCCCATAGTGGAATGGGGCTGGCTCCCCAGTGCTGTGTGCACTCTGGGGGGCAGGGGAAACAGGCATCCCCCAGATCTGTGTTCAGGGAGGGGGTGGAGGTGGGTGCAGGCTGCGGGCTCGGGCTCCCACTCTGCTGTCCTGCCTCGGTGGGCATCATCCGGTGCAGCAGGGAACAGAAGAGCTGCAGGTTCTTCCCCTGTTCTCTCTGTGGGACTCCAAATCTCCCCTTACCCGCCCCCACAACCATATCTGGTTTCCGACACAGATGGATGTTGTCAGGAGTCTCTGATGGCTCTAAAGGTACACGTTCTTTATCGCAGTTGTCTTCTCAACTGGCCCTGATCCAACTGTGGCCTTGTTCCCGCTGAGCCTCTGTGGCTGCCAATTAGTTAGCTCAGCCCTTAAAGTATAGTCTTGGGTTCAGTGGCCCTATATCAGTCTCTATGCCGTGAGCAACAGTCAGTGCTGGCTCACTACACTGGCACAAACTGTAAATCTCCTCCCAACCTGAGATCCTTTTACAGTTGTACTCTTAACCACCCCAGAGCCTGCCACTCAAGGTCCCTTTGGCAGTTCTGCAGGGCTTTATCACCCCCTGGCCCTCGTTCTTAGGGTTTGGTCACAAACTCTGGAGCCTCCTGTTGCCCTGTCCCATTGTGGAATGTGAGGCCTGGGTAAGGGTGTAGACCCCAGACCTTTCCCTTACCCCTAAGTACAATGATACTGTCCCAGGGGTAAAGTACTGGCTTCATACTTGGACCCTTTGTTCGGTCTGCCTCCACCCAGGGTCCCTCTGCCCTGAAATTCATCCTGCTGTTGCTGGGTTGACTGGATGTACTGGTCTGTGGCTCAGCTTCTGCTGGTCATGTGGCTTGTTGAATGGTGCTCCTCCCAGCACTCTGCTGCTCAGGCTGGGTGGGCTGCTTTGCTTCAGCCTCTGGCTGCCCCCAGCCTGGGGGCAGTTCAGTCTGCTGCCTTTTCTGCCTGCTGCCACCACCACTGTGCCCCTCTCTGGGGCTGGAAGTACTGCTCTGGATGCTTCTCTTACTAATCCGGAGCTTCATGCTGCTCTGAAAGTGTCACGGTGTTTCCAGCATGCTGCTCCTGGAGCCACTTGGCACTGTGGTGAGTTTGGGATGCTGGCTATCCCTTTCTTTCTCTCCATCTCCCTCACACCTATATGCTTATACTTGTGGAAACTGCTTAAATTATGATGCTGGGTTTATCTGGCTTAACAGAAACCTTAAGATACTGGTATTATACCATTAACATTACTGTAAATTTCCAGTATTTACACAAATACAAAATGAGGCTTGCTTTTTTTCCCCTAGTTGGCATTTGGTGGTGGGGAGGTGGGAAGCCCCCCTCATCTTATAATTGCATATACAACTCACTAAATACATTGTCTATCATTATACTGCTGTCAAAAGCAGCATGTGCTCAGCAATGGAAAACAAACTATGAAGTTGATTAAATGCAGCTAACACTGAGCATGACTATATAACACATGACCCATGTTAGGTAAACATGCTGATGGGAGCCTACCACAAGCACAGGTTAGTGTAGCCTATCTGAATAAGACATATGATTGTGCCCATAGTGTAGTCCCACTCACCACTGATTTTTTTTTTTTTTTTCAGTCATGGTGAGCCACGGCATTGCACACAGTTCACCCAAAATCCCTCTGTTGCATACGATTAGTGTGGTTCCACCCTTCATGAGATGAAGCCAGACTAGGTTGCCCTGCACCTCATCTACATATACATTTTTGGAGTATCACAGGATTGGTGACATATACATGGGTGCAGCCTAATTAGCATATAAAACCTTTGTGGGGGTTCTCTGGGGTTCATATACATACTAAGCAATACTGAGCTATGGGGTCACTATGGCTTCAGATGCTGTTGACTCTGGTGGAGCTTAGCCCAACAAACTACATGGTAAATCACGAGCCTTTGGCACCTATTTATATGTAGTATGAATTATGCATGATATTGGTCCAAAGTGCTGCTCAAAAATATGTTTATGAAACACCTCTGCTAAAACTTGCAGCAGTTTCAAAAATAGGTAACATGCTTCATTTCTGAATAAACTATGTGCATAGGTAGTATATGCAAATTGCTACAGCCACGTTTAATGCCA